AATAAATTAAGTGCAATAGCTGTTCAGCTGTTCGGCTATTGCAATCGAAAGCAATATAGATATCTATATCATATTTAATGGGGTCTGCGCTGCCCGCTGGTTTTTGGGTGCCAATAAATTTATAAGCCCAACCGAACAACAAAAAGTTTTTTCGCACTTTAATTTTGTTTATCTCAAGGAGGAGGAGAGTCAGGAGGAGGAGGAGGAGTTCCTTGACTCGAAGGTCGAGCTTCTGGGCTGGGCGTGTGTTTAATTGCTGGGACAATTAAAAACAATTTTGCGGAAGGCAGCCGCTCGAGCAGGGTCAATAAATTTAATTGGCCGCCGTGCCACGCCCTTTCCCCCAAAAAAGACGCCCATTTTGACTTTTGTGGAACTCTTCCTCCCCTTTCCCTCTCTCTCTCTCTTTCAGTATTTTTCTCTCCCTCTGTTGTTGTCTCCATCTCTATCTGCAATTCCATTTCCAGCTTCATCTCCGTCTTGGGTCATTGTTTGTGTTTTTTTGTCCATTTTCGCACCTAGTGACTGGAGGTGTCTGTCGCTCTGCGTGGGGCATGCCGCAATTTATGCGGCTGTCAAATGCAACCCTGCTTGATTTTTATTGGCAGCAAACACGGAGCAACCGCCACCCACACTCCACTCCCGTTGGCTTCTTTCGTGTAATTGCATTGAGCACATAAATCAATTGAATTGCATTTTCATGCGACAAGTTTGGCCAAAACCTCATCCAGCTGCCCCTGCCCCTGCCGCTGCCCTGCCTCACAACCCCCTTTCTCTTTAGCTGGTCGCGCCCTTGACTGCAAGTGAAAGCCAAAAGTAGTTTTTCCTTACAGCTGTCTTTCATCTTTTCCTTTTCCCCGTTTGCTGATGTGAAACCCTTTCAAGCATAGAATAATCAATTGAAATTGCATGCAATGCGTCAAAGCCAAAGTCCAAAGGGGAGAAAGGGGCTGGGGCAGTGGTAGGGGCAAGTGGCAAATGGGGGAAAAACCAACGTCATCGCTGATGTGGAAGTTGAAGTCAATTCTCTGCTCTATGCTCCTGCCCCTTCCCCTTGCAGCACCCATTTATTAGTTGTGGCTTGCGGCTGCTTCCCATTTCCAAAAAATATTCAGAGTTCTGTGCACGTAGAAAGATTATCAGCACTTCATTTATTGCTTATCAAATTGTTTGATTAATGTTCTTTTTTCTATATTTTCATTTATTTTTATATTTATATATCTATTCGATTTTAATTAATATATTTATATTGCCATATTTATTATTTATATTTTATATTTTGGATTTCACATTTTATATTTTTCTTGTTATGAGTTCTGTGCACGATTATCAGAGCTCTATTTATTGCTCATCAGATTAAATGATTAATGTTTTTTGTTGGACCTTTTCTCATTTTGCCTATTCTATGGAAATGTCAGCAACAGTTTTTCACAGCTCAAAAGCAAGTCTTGTTATTTATATTATTTTCAGATTGTCGAGCATTTTATTGGAAAAGTTGTGGGGCGAGTTTGCGGCTTTTAACGCTCTGTTGATTTGCTCTGATTTGCTCTGCAGGCAAGTTAGATGCCCACAAAATCATATTCTACTCATTTTGTATATTCATATATATATATATATATAAAATGCCATGAATTTTTCATAGGCGCTGTGGCAACAAGTTGTCTGCCACAAGTTGCGACGCTGATGCCACACAAAAAATAGATTTCACTTCTGTTGTAGATAGATGGTGAATATAGTAAGCAGATAATATCATATTAGATTAAGCTACTCAAGTTATATTTCTTTGCATATTACTCATTTCTAAACATCAACAATTTTTGGTCTGCTTGGGTTTTTCTGGGCTTCCCCAAGTCAATCATGAATAAATCAATAAATTTGTAATAATTTGATATATTTTAACATTGTGTATTTTAAATCATATTTTACAGTTTGCATTTAATATTGTATCTCTTATATTTTAAATTTTTTATTTCTTGCTTTTTGAATTTGAGTAGTTAATTTGAAGTTTTACTTTAATAAATTTGTAATTCTCTCTAACATTTTTTACATATTTGAATCGTTTACTGCATTGAGTTTACACTAAATAGATTTCCACACATTTCGTTTGTGTTCTGCCCCATTTAAAGTGCTGACACACTTAGAAATGTGTGTTTGAGTGTGTGTGGCAAGTAAGACGCCCGCATTTGCCGCACTCACTTTTACAGTCACACACACATTCAGATCTACAGGCCATTAATCAGCGAGGGCAGCTAAACAAAAGTATAACTCATCAACGCACAAATTACAAAGACAAACGATGACTGACAATGGCTAGAAAAGCTTTGTGGCACTTGCCACCACCAACACCACTTCCACTGCCCACAATCCACACAAGGGGAGAGTATTTGTTAATTAAACAAATGCCGCAGTGACATGTGCACATCAGCGCATGATGACTGGCGTTTGGCGTTTGGCGTATGCTGCATGCAACATGCAGCATCCAGCGTCATTTTGCGGTTAACTGCATCAGCAGCCCCAAAACTGGAGGGCAGCAAGTGGGAATGCTTCTGGATTTTTGGGTGTCTGACTTGTACACAATGTCAGTTGACACACACACACAACACACACTCACACATACACACACATAAAAATGGTGGCGCCGCGTAGAGCGACTCCGCATGCAATTTAATTTATTTCAATTGCAGTTGAAATTATTGCGACAGGCGACAGACGACAAACTGCCGTCGCAAAGGGAAGCTTCAGCAATTTGCTCATATTTTGTGTTTCTGTATTTCTTTGTAGATTGTATTGCATGCAACTAGCAATACAATCTACTGCTGCCCCACCTCCCCACCTACCCCCCATCATCGACTGTGCGACTGCGTAAACAAATTCTGGCGCGAAGAAAGCGTCAATTTCAATAAAGCAGATGCGTTTCGCTTCAAGCTGACAATGATCATCATCAAAATAATCAAAACAATCATAATGATGATGACGATATTGGTGATAATGATTATGAGGTTGCCTCATGTGTATTTTGGCTGCTTGCCACATCCACAGTTGCCGCAGTGTCATAGCTCACGCGCTCAAACTTGCATTTATGCGCAGCACTTGCCACATTTTGTGGCAAACATGCTCGGGTTTCAAGATGGAAACTAGCTCATTTTCGCAAATTAACTCAGTTTGAAGAATGGAAATTAGTTGAGGCAGTCAAAAGTTGAGATTCCTTCACTAAAGTGAGTTTTTCAGGGGCTGCATTATTAAAGATCCCAAATTTAAATAAGATTTAATTAATTTAAATTTTCATTGTATGCATTTTTCAGTGAACTGTTCACTTGATAATTCTTAATTGACTTTAACTTCACTTAACGTGACGAATAGCTTAAGAGTCTTAAGAGTAGAATGTTGCGCTTATTTCGCTTTTCTGTGCCACTGAACACTGGGGCAGACAGACTTTTTTATGGTATAAATTGCGAATAAATCAAAATTATAATTGATATATTTTTTGACCAATTAAATCTTAAGTATAATATTCATAAGCACTCAGGAAAAACTAGGTATATCTGTTCTAAATTTGAACTTTTATTACGCTGACTTTGAAGTCAGATTTTCGATCAGAATTCGACAAAGTTTAACCAAACTTTGTGCTTGGTAAAATGCATATTTACTTTTCAATTAAAACCTTAATGTTAATCAAGGAAATCAATAACACAAGTGTGTGGAATGTGAATACTAAAACAAGCATTTTTAATTGTTAAGCATTATTTCTCTGAATTAGTTTGTTATATTCTAAAATTCAGAAAAGCCGAAGCGAAGTTGGAACCAACTTTCTGCTAACCTAACTATTCGCACTTTTATTCTGATATGTTATATATTTTCTTATATTAGACAGATATATTCGTCCGATATCCACAATTTGTTGTACAAACGTAAAAAGCGTTAAGTAAATGTGGTCAGAATATTCTGCCTGTGTCGACTGATATTAGTTGACATTTAATAATTAAATTTGTACCACTGTGCACCGTGAGCATGTCTGATGAACACGCTGGTGTTATAAGTAGCCCGCAGCTGGGCAACCTCTGCTGCGATTTCAGCAGCAGCTCGAGTTGCCCTCTTTCCAAATATATTTAATGTGGCCATAACGAACTGCACTTGGCCTGGCCCAAACAACAGCAGCGCAGCAACTTTTGCAATGCAAGTCGCCATGGGTGGCAACTCCCCCCAGATACTGTTGCAGTTGCAGTTGTTGTTGTTTGTTTTTGTAGTTGTTGTTGTTGTTGTTGCACAGTGCGCCACAGAGTTTCAAGTGTAAATTAATTTATGAGGCATGCGGCGTCAACGGCGCCGAGCTGTTTGAGTTTGGTTTGGTTTGGTTTTGCTTTCGGTCAGCGATGCGCGAATAGCCATAAACATAACACCCACATACCATATATACCTCCCCCTTCCACACTCCCCTCCATATACCGCAGCTGCCCCTTGCCATTTTGGCCATTTCGCAATTTGAAATGTCAGCCAAAGTGTGAAATTTCATATTGACAAATGAAGCCTGGCGCAGAGAGAGCTGCATAATTGAGCAACCCACAGCAGTTATATATATTCTACATATACATATATACGATTTAATGATAGTCAACAATTGAGCAAGTTATAAATATGTCTATGTATATATATATTATATATATACAGTTGTAAAAAATATAATAGTACCACTCTCACATAAGAAATGTAGTCAAAGATATCTTTTTCAAAATTTGTAAGCTTAAGGAACTTATAAAATAAAATAATAGCAGCATTTTTCAAATGTCCACATATAATTATGCAAATTATAAATAAATAAAAAATTTGTTAACTGCAGCTGAAGTTAAGATTATTTTACTAATTCAGTTGCATTGCATTAAAAAACTGCATAACTAAAATTGGTTTTTTCATTCGTAATCAAAAAATGTTGTAGTGCCATTATTTTGACCGCTACTGTATATATATTAACGATATATTGATAGGTCTGTAAATGTCTCACTTACCTTTAAATGTGGCGATGACGAAGAGCGCAGCAATCAAATGGAAACAGGCAAACATTTTGTCCTTTTATTTGTATTTGAAACTCGTCCCGTTTAATTGTTACAAAGTCACACTGTAAAGATAAGAGCGAAAGAGAGAGTGAGTGAGTGATAGAGACAGAGATAGAGACATGGGGGAGGTAGAATAACAAACAAACATGAGTTGAAATGAACAATTTGACTATTATTATACACATGTATCATCATCATAAATATTTGTTTATATTTTCTTTTGTCATTTCATTTTTTTTGACAACCACGCCTCGCTTTAGATTCTACACTCAGCGAAAAAGTGGCTATGATATTCAAGCAAACAACGGAAAATTGGAATCGTATATCTTTTCTAAAATTAGAAAAGTTGTAGCATATTTAAAAATTTTTCTAGTGCGGTTTTCGGAACGTTTTACTGAATTTTCCTAAATGTTTTCTATTATTAAAAAATATATTAAATAATTCCTTATGCCTTAGAAATATATGCTTAGCATTATAAGCTGAGTTATGCTTGAATTTTTGTACGACTTTTCTAAAATTAGAAATGTTTTTTTTCTACTTTTGTATAAATTTATCCTGGAATTAAGAAAAGATAAAACCTGGTGCGTAGATACATACATACTTATTGAATAATAAGCTGACTTATACTGGGTAATTTGATACAGTTTGCTGGAATATTTAATTTTTTTCCAAGTGTGGCCGTCTAGACGCCCCGTCGATGTGGCAGACACATGCAATTTGTCGCTTGTTTAGCACGCCATAATAGAGACACATAACAATTTGCCGGCTATCCCAATCCACGTTCCCAGTTCCCATTCCCATTCCCCCTTCTTCTCGGTTACCTTTTCCGGCTGTAAGCCACTCCGATTTTCAGCTCACAGCAAGTGTCAAGCGGAAGCGCCACCTGTGCCGATGTCGATGTTGAAGTCGATGTTGGATGTTGTTGATGTTGATGTCGAATGTCATCATTCAAATGTCATTCGCTCACACAAATTGTTGTTTGACATGGCATGCCGCTAATCAAAATGGAACATACACCTGCACACCTGCACACACACCTACGCACATATATACACGCTATACATATGTCAATCAACACCACAGGCACAATACACACACACACACACACACACACACACCCATCTCTCCCATTTTCCCATGTGCAATTAAGCGCTGCAAATACGAATCGTTATTGTGGACAGCAGGGGGGAATAGTGGGGAGGGGCGCACAGGAAGTCTAAAACTATCCTCAACCACGCCCACACACACACATCACTTTTGTCATTAGTTTTGTCCATTGTCCAAGGCAAGTGAAAAACACAATCAGCAATCGAAACCCAAATTCCAAAATCAAAATCCCAAATCGACAGCAGTAAAGGGAGGGGGTGAGGAGGGTGGGGGAATGGGAAGGGGAAGGGAGAAGGGGGTGGTGGGTTTTTCATTTTGGAAAATCACTCGTTGATTGTCATCGGTAGGTGTGACTAATTGTTGGTCATTTATCTTCGCTTTTTGTCTTCGCTCCCAGATTCTCTCTTTCTCTGCTTGCTTTTTTGGCTCCGGTTTTTCGGCTTCCATGGAATCCATGAATAATTTCCGTTCCTCTTGTTCTAGAGGGAGAAACTGGATGAGGGGAGGTGGGTGGGGGGTGGGGGTGGAGATTGGGGGAAGGGGTCTCTTTAACTGTTTAGCTGTGAGCTGTGCCCCCAGTGGACTACTGACTGTTTGTCTAAATTAGATACATTGGCCACACACAAATGCCTCTAATTGATGGGACCAGTTGCTGTTGTTCTTGACCGTCGCACAACAAATACACACACACAGCACACACACACACACACACATTTTAAGCCGGATGACTCGTGCATCAATATTCATTTAGTTGAGTGCTTGCGTAATCGATACGAGCAACATTTAAATTTCGCTAGGCAATTTGCATAGTATTTAAATTTGACGGATATTTATTGTAGTCCATAGAAATCTGACTTTACTTTATTAATAAATAATTAAAGGCTCTTTTTATATGTTCAACTGCACATTGGAATTCATTGTTTTCTACAGAAACTTGAGTTTACTTTATTAATAAATAAATAAAGACAATACTTATTTAATAATTAAATAAAATATTATTTTAATAATATTACCTGCAAATTAATATTTATTATAGTCAATGGAAACATACCTGGCTTGTCATTGCAAAACAGTGTTTTACTATAATATTAAATAAGTATCTTGACTTGAAACTTGACTTTATTTAACTGTAGATTGGTATTTATTGCAGTATCTTTATTTTAATAAAAAACTCTATTTAAATTTACAAAACATTTCAATGCCAACTAGAATCTGCTTCTTATTGTGCTCTAAATATTATTTATATATATATTCAAGTAAATATAAATAATCTTTTACAGAGGAAACACATTTAAATTTAGAAATAAATAAATAATGATTCGCTTTTACATTGCTATGAATAATTTTAGACAAACAAATTTAGATAAGGGAATTATTTGTTTTCCTTTTTTCAAATATACGCTTCACTTTTAAGGCTTTCATTACAAGCTCAATACTCCCCACCCGGGAGTATTGTCAACGTGCCACAAATGGTGGCATATTCAGCACTGCACAATTTTGATTGACAAACGCTTGGAAAGCGGCCAATTGGAAGACACTTTCAGTCACTGACAAAGACTGACAAATATTACACCCAAAATGATTGCCAAAAATTGCTCACATGCAATATTTCTGACTCGACTTGGATTTAAGCCGGGGGCCTGTTTCTAGATGGTCGTTCAGAATGTGCACAGATATCAGATAACTAGCCGTAAATGCCCCAATGACTTGCAATACATGTGTAAATGTCAGATACACAGATACCATTGTGTGTATGTGTGTGTGTGTGGGAAGCAACCCCTGAAAGCAAATGCTATGGTAACACTTACAAGGCCTGTGAATGTGAATTTTCTCTTGCCCTCACCTGTATTTGGGGTGTGTACACTAAGAAAAAAATCATCCTAAATTGTAGTGAATTGCCTTTAAAGTGAAAATCGCCGCAAAAAAAATTTTTTTATTAGAAATAAATGCTAAATATTTGAAATCAAGAAATGCAAACCCTGGTTTTTAGAAAGTCACAAATATAAAATTTAGAAATTACTTTCTAAATAATTGCAAGATTTGTTATTTGAATAATTTACTTAAATATATTTCTGAAAAATGATTTCTATTATTCTCTAAAAAGTACAAACTAAAAATGTTAGTTTGGAGAAGAAATACTTTCTAAGATTCAGAAAGCAAGAACTATTTTCTTCTCAGTGTAGTTTTTCATTTCCCTACTTGCCTATTTGCTTATTTCCTTATTTTTCACTTTTTCTCTTGCTTTCATTGTTTCTTTGTTTTTTTTTTTCAGGCCGACAGGTGCACACACACACACACACACACACACACGTGGGTCCTTTTTCAAACTAATTTCAGCCATCAGATAGGGCGTGTAGGTGAGCTGGGGATTGTTAGGGGTGGGGAGAGGGAATTGAGTCACATTTTGCTCGCGTGTCTTGACTAATTTGCATAATTTGGCCGTTAAGTGGCGGAAAAATGTAATCGAATGAACAGATAGGCAACTAAACAATCCCCCACCCCTCCTTCCACTCACCCCTATTCACCCCCTATTTTTACTAGCTCTCCAACTGTAATTAGAACGTAACACAGCATATTTTCTTATTTTCTTCTTCAGTTTTATTTCCTTTTTTTAACATTCACTAACTTAAATTAAAGCCAAATGAGTCTCAATGCAATTCCCCTTCTGCCCCATCTACCCCCATCTCTACGTACCCCTTGGGGCAGCCCCTCAAGTGAGCAAAAGCTAACCTTTTACAGCTATTGGCCCCGTTGGCAAGTTGGGTGTTAATAAAAAAAACAACACTGCTTACACCAACTATAACAATGTCAAGATACTTTTACAATGCGCTTCATTGGTTTTTTAGTACTTTTGGGGTCTTTATTGTGACCAACCCCCGTCTTCACTCCTCCTTCCTGCTGCACATGTATATAGATATGTGAAAAAACACATTACTATGGCAGCCATGCCCCTGCCACATTTCACATTGTGTTTCACAATTGAAAATTGTCAAGTTATCAATTACAGCGAATGATTTTCCTTATGTGCAGAATGTGTGCAAAGGTTCCATTTACTCTTGCCACACAATTGAAAGCGTATAATGTATCATAAATCAATACAAGCAGACATATATGTATGTGGAACATATATATATATATATGTATAGTAATACAAAAATACATAAATACATACAGTTTCGGAAAAAATGGGTGCACCACTTACGCATTCTTCGTTTATTTATTTCTAATTTTTATAATTGTATTTGCACATTTGAGAAAATTTTCTTACTTTATTTTTTTGTTAAAATTTGTCATACTTATACAAATTTGGAGTTTAGTTTTGATCTACTGGCCAAATAGTTGTCAAAAAGCGCTAGAAATTTGCCCGTACCGAGGAAATTATTTTGTTTTTGCGAATAATTTTAACGTGGAAATGAACCCCAAATAAGATTTTCAACTTTATATGCAGCATTATTCTAGAAGTCAACCCATATTTCAAAAGACCTCGTTTTTCAAAAATCTGAACACATTTGATCAATTTATAGCTGTACAAATCAGATCATCACTTTCAAATCGATTTCAAAACTGCTCAGAGGGAAAATTTGAAACAGAAGAAGAAACTCTCTCAAATGGTCCAGGCCCATAAAAAAGCTGGCAAGTTCTCAGCTAATAAACTAACAGAAATGCGCAGCTGAAAAGCTGTATAAACAAAATCGTGCTAAACTTGGCGTATATACGATTTGATACCCTCTAATTTGTTTATATTGTGCTAAATGCACAGCTAGGAGCAACAACAATAACAACAATAACAAAATAGGCAATAGCAGCAAGTGCCATAAAAAATGAACAAACAACGAGCGTTTTCTTTTTGTGCATTTTAAATTTATAAACTGCCAACTGTTGGGCAAAGAAAGGGAGAGATGGAGAGGGAATATAGAGAGGGAAACCTGGGGAAGGTTTGAGGAGGGGGATGGTT